ACTTTACCTGCCTTAAGAAATTGTGATTTCCCAGAGAAGAGAAGTCAGGAGCCACTGGGAGGGAGGCCTCTGAGATTGATGTAGAGGTTGTAAAAGCTGCCATGCTCTAGGTTTGATCCTCAACACTACTTTTTTTAAAAGGCCACACGTCTGACGGATCTCCTTCTATTTTAGGGCTGTGACTGGCCCTTAGTGATGGCATGGCTTCATCTTGGCTATGCTGTGGGGAATGAGCGATAAGGCTGCAGTCAGCCAGGGAGGCTCATTGCTTGCTTCTCTCCCTGTCCTCAGCTTTACACATGGGCTTGCGTTTGTCCAAACAGCCTTAACATATGATTCATATATATTATTTTCTCAACGTGCCCAACTCGGTGACTTTTGGGGTATCTGCAGAATGTTATATCTATCATCACAGTTTTGGAACATTTTTATTACCCCCAAATGAGTTTTGGAACATTTTATTACCCCCTACATACCTTAGATATCACCTCCCAGTTTCCCTGTTATCCCACCCCATCACTGCAATATAAGAAACTAGGTATACTTTCTAAGCTCCGTAGATTTGCCTGTTCTAGACATTTCATAATGGAATCATCCTATACATGGCTTTTAGTTAGTTACTGTCTTTTATTTCTCATTTAATCTAACGTTCTTAATTTTTAATAAATTAATGCTAATGTTGTAGCATAATCAATTCTTCATTTCTTTTATAGCCGAATAAGACTGTGTGATAGCTTGTTGTTCTCCAAAGCTTGTTGTTCTCTCTCGCTGTTCCTCCAAAGCTTTATGCAGTCATAGGTGGGGCTTTTTGGAGGTGGCTGGATATAGAGTGTGTGATGCTAGAAATCAGCATGTGATGCTGGGATCAAGGGTGTGTGATGACTAATTTAGCCCACTGTTAGTTTGTCATAGCTCTTTGTGTGGATAATGTGAAGGCCCACCCTGGTGTGGGTGCTGTCTGTCCTAGGTGCACGTAGCCTGGATAGAACATAAGGGATAGAAAGAGGGCTGCTGCTTGTTACTTTGCTACTGCACTGCTTGCTGCCTTGCTGCCTTCTGCCTGCCATGAATGGTTTCTTCTTTGCCCTGTTACCCTGTCTTGGAGCCCTATGAATGAAACTTCTATAAGCTGTGAGCTAAAATAAACCTTTCTTTCCTTTAACTTTGGATGTTGGGTATTTTGTCTTAGTAACAAAAAAAAGTAACTCCATTATACACATGTACCACTGTGTTCCTTCATTTGTCTGGTGATGAACATTTGGATTCTCTTTTTTTGTTGTTGTGATAATGCTACTGTGAAATGTGTGTACAAGTTTTTGTATGGACATAAGTGTTCATTTTTCTTGGGAGAATTCCCAGGAGCAAGATTGTGTGGGTCACATAGTAGCTTCCTCTTTAAAGACTTCAATCTAGATAGCAGCTTCTTAGCTTGAATGACTACTGTTTGATGACTGTCGTTCTGAGGCTTCTCCATTACTTGTGTGTCCATTACAGATGATTACCGTTAAGTCCTTTTATGCAACCAAGGTTCTATAGGGATAGCTGTCATGGATCTTCCTCATTATCCTCCTGTTCCTGTGGGAGATAGGGGCATCTCCTGAATAATGCTTTTGAAAAGTTTTAAATTCTGTCATCTTAATAGAAATTGTAGAAAGGAATTCTAATGTGGTTCTCTTTGTTACCCATATACCGATTCTGTTATTTCACACTGTATTCTACTGGAGGAAAGAACATTCCTGGCAGCTCTACAGTCACTTAAAATTAGGTCCCTTAAGTGCTCTGAACTTATGGCTAGGGATTTTCACACCTAATTTGTATCTCTCTGGGCTAGAATAATTTCATCTGAGTTGAGTTTCTTGGCAATCTCTTTGTACATGGAATGTACTGCCGAGGTGGTTGTCACTTGGCCAAGGGGAAGGTTTAGAAGCCTCTGCCTTCTAAAAAGGCCTTGTCCAGTTCCAGCTCTGGGTTTTTCTAGGACTTAAATTGTGTTACCTCAAGCAGCTTCTTTGATAAGGTTCATAGAGGAGGTTAATTAGGGCTTCCTGTTTGAAAGTAACTTGTCAGTAGTTGGAGTTTTGACCTAAAATAGTATAAGAAAATCACCAGAAGATTGTCATTTTTGTTGTAGCACCTCCTTTACTTGCCCTGGGAAAATCCCTTCAGTCTGGGATGACAAATGAGTGTGGGTTATGAGAAAGGAAGTGCAGCCACTTCCTGAGGAAGTAGGGCCAGCACCCAGTTAGAGAGATGGCTTTTAGAGTACCAGCACCCAACAGCAGGAACTCCATCTTTCTCAGTATTCAGTCCCCAGGCCCTGCGAGGACTCAGAGCGAGTATGTGGTCTGTGTGTACTTGGAGAACTCGTGGAGGATGGAAAGGGACAAGTTTCTGTTGTAACAGTACCCAGCATTCAGAAGGCAGAATAAAGTGCCATAATACCCTCATTTAGTTCATGCTTTATTGTGTCCCTGGGGCCTTTGTCTCCCTCTGAGAAGGTACACAGAGATTATTCTTGACTTAGGACTGTTCAGCTTGACATTTTCCAACTTGAAGATGGCGTGGAAGCACTCTCATACAACTGCTTTTCACTTTAAGTCCAGTATTCAAGAAATTACATGAGTCAAGACTTTGTTATAGATTAGGCTTCATGTTAGATAATGTGGCCCAACTGTAGGCTGATGAAAGTGTTCTGGGTACATTTTAGGTAGCTTACACTAAGCTGTGAATTAAGTAGGTTATGTATATTAAATGCATTTTGTATTTACAGTGTTTTCAACTTAACATTAGGTTTATTAGGATGGGATCTGTAAGTCCTGAAAGACTACAAAACAACCCAAGGTAGACAGACATGTGTTTTAAGACTTTAGACCAGGAAAGGAATGCTGTAGGCCCAGTAATGGGGAATATGGTCTGAAGCAGATGGGACTGGAGATCGGGCCTTCCAGTACAGGCTAGGTGTGTACTGTGTGAGTAATACAGAGGAGTGAGCCAGCCAGGTGAGAGGTGCAGCTTTGTGAAGATGGGGAGCCACCTGAAAGATGGTGAGGGTTTATGGAGATATGAGTAGTTACTGGTGGGCATGTAGCATGCAGTGAGGCAGAGGAGCTCATGGTATATTGCAGTGCAAGTCAAAGATTGAGCCTGATCATGTTGACATGTTGGCAGCACTGCACAGTGATGGAGTGTGCACCTGGGACCCAGCTGCCTGGATCAGCGGCTCAGAATTGAGTATCACCTGGAGGGTGTCAGAGCCCACCCATCCCACCTCTAAGCTTGATATGGTTGGTGGGGGTAGCTATACAGATAATAGTGTGATGTTTCTGAGTTAGAGACCACACTTTGACTACTACTAGCTTAGAATTGAGAAACTGGCAAACCTTTCACTAGAGACCAGATAATAATACTGTAGGCACTGTGAACTATGTAGTGTCTCTGTCACATATTCTTAGTTGCTATCCTTTGAGCATGTATACAGCATTCTTTGCCTTACAGGCAGGCTGGGGTTAGGGAGAATGATGAGGAGAAGATGAATGTAGTTGACCAATCTCTGAGCCATCTCTAGATTATCAGTTTTTGCTACAAAGCTGGCTGATCTTTGCCAAGTAATCTCCCTGCACTGTTATTTCTTCATTATTTTTTCTCTTGAAAGGGAATAGTATTGTTAAAACTTTCTTTGAGGATTTGGTGAGCTAAGGCTCGAAAAAGCATTTATCACAGTGCCTTGAACATGGGTAGAGTTTATCATTTATTAGAAGTAGTAGTAAGTTACCAACTACTGATTGCTGTGTTATATAGGTCAGGGGAAGGCAGTGGAATGCTGGTCATGAGAGATCTGTTGCCTGCTAATTGCTGTAAGATTCTACTGACTCTCCTCTTAGGCTGCTGGCAAAGCAACTTTTGAACTAAAACATGTACACTCTGAACTACACCCAGAGTTAGTCCCTTGTAGGGGATCATTGCTTAGCCTCTCTCCCTCAAGTGGCACTTTTGTCAGGTGGGGTGGACCCTAGGCACAGGATTCTAGCTGAAGGGGCAGGTAACTGAGCACACTGGTGACACTGACTCAGCCTGCACTGCGAATCAAAGGAGATCTGGTGCCTTTTGACTTTTCACTTTGCCTCCTGGTGGGAGTGAAAGTGAGAACCACAGAAAAGCAGACAGCCAGGTGCTTCATATTTCCTGTGCTTCAGTGTGTAAGCAGCAGAAAGGAGTAGCTTTTGCTTGAGATAGGTAGAACAAGGGGCTAGGCATGAACCTGAGAAGTGCAATGTGTGCTTAGTGTGCTCCAGGGCTGGGTTCAATCCCCAGCACCAAAAAACAAAATAAGATAAAAACAAACAAAAAAGAACAAAGGCCTTTGGTTGTAACCATAGCATTCTCTGTGCTGGTGCACTGGGAGAGGCTACCTGGTGGCCCCTGAGAGAAACATCTCATCTCTGAATACTGATAATGAAAGCTGGCTATGCTTAATAAGATTTGGGGGGCCACTTCCCCTTCCTTGCCCCTGCTCTTGAGGGGCATCCACTTTCTTGCTTACCTCTGCAGCTGCAGACTAATCCTTGCCTTAGGCACATAATAATGACTCAAGCTCCAGTTACAGAAGCACAAAGTGCCCAGTGATGATGTAACTCCACCCTCCACTTGGGTTTTTGCTGACCTGCAGTGAAATACTTTTCCATCTCCTCCCCACCTTGCAAAACAAGCTTCCTGTTTTGAACTTGGTCCAGATGGGAACAGCCGCGCTACACCTGTTAATACACTCAGATATACACTTCCCCCTCTGTATTTGTACAGCTTCTTGTCGCCTGGCCAGATTTCCTTTCTCAGCTTACAGATCTTGAATTATAACCTGAGAAACTGAACCAGCAAATGAAGAAAAAAAAGGAAGTTAATATTTGATGTAGAGTTACTCATGTAAAGTCATGGCTTGTAGTTTATTTCGCTGTATTTTGCCGTAACAGAGCACTTTTCTGACTTTGCCCTCTCCTCTTTTGCAGCAGAATGGAAGCAAGGAAAGGAAATCAGCTGACACAGGAGCCGGAGTGAGAACCACACTGACGCAGCCTACACCATGAATTTGAGTCTACCTTCTAGGCATTGAGAGGCAAGAGCAGGCCAAGTTGCTGGAGAGCAATGGCTCTCTTTACTCCCTGGAAGTTGTCTTCTCAGAAGCTGGGCTTTTTTCTGGTGACTTTTGGCTTCATTTGGGGGATGATGCTTCTGCATTTTACCATCCAGCAGCGAACTCAGCCTGAAAGCAGCTCCATGCTGCGGGAACAGATCTTGGACCTCAGTAAAAGATACATCAAGGCACTGGCGGAAGAAAACAGGAATGTGGTGGATGGGCCATATGCTGGTGTCATGACAGCTTATGGTAAGTGCCATAACATGGGGGCACCTTTTCATTGAATGTGACTTAACTTTGGCTTTGAAAGGATCCCGGAGGCTCCCAATCTTGGGCTTCCCCTGTAAGGATCTCTTATGTCTGCCTTCATGGGCAGGGAGTTGCATACAGAGGTACACATTTGGAAAGGAAAAGTGATGCCCTATGCAGGATTCTGAGATCTTGTACACACAGACACTTTACACTTTGCTTCAGGAACAATAGTCATGTCAGTTAGCGTTTTCTGGGTTGCATACGCAGCTGCCTCTTCCTCTAACACATTTCTCAACTGTGTGACCTCATGTGTGCATGTATTCAAGAAACTGCAAAAACAATCAGTCTCATTATTTTTGCTCTAAACAAAACTTAATTAGGGCTAGAGGGGTGAGTGAAGTAGGTAGGAGGGAATGTTTTTATGGTGATCAGTAAGTTTAGACTCCTATAGCCCGGGCAGAAGGCATGGGAGTGTAAATCCTGACTGATAGTTTTGAACTTTGGCTTTTTCAGTTTTGACAGCTCTTGTTTCTTGCTCTCAAATTATTCTCATTTTGAAGGAAACCTTTTTGTGCTTGTTGCTTATTTTTAGATGCCCTAAATCTTTTTTAAAGTAATGTGGAATAAAAGAAATATACATATGGAATGTATCTTACTTTTGTTTTAGCAAAATTAATGCTTATTATACAAAAAGTTGAATGTTATTTTAAAAGACAAAAATCACACATAACTACTCTAGGGAATATCCACAATTAACATTTTAGTGTGTCTTTCTGATATTTTATATGTATATATACACAAGAATTTATTCGTACAAATACTGCATGAAACAAAACAAAAATTGCAAATGATGTATGGATCATAGTATATTTTGGAGAATCCATTCCACGTGACCTGTACTCACTAAATATCCAGAGTAAACTTGATGCGTGGACCTACTGTTATTATTCAGTGACATTCAAATCATTGGATCAAGACTTTGGTGGTCCCAATTTTGGGTTTATAATATGAATGAGATGCAACAGGGGGACTGGGTGAGGTAGACGAGGGAAGGCTTTTGTGACCCAGTGAAGAAACATGTTCTCAAGTATGTAGAGTCTAAATAATTTCTGAAAACATGCTGGGGTAAGTTATTAGGCCCAGAGAGTTCAAGTACAGGAAGTCCTATTCAATTATACATATATTTTTTTCTTTGAAAACTATCTGGAAAACATGATGATATGATACATATATTTTTTTTTTTTTGACTGCATAACTAGGGCTTTAGCACTAGGCTGCTTGGCTGTACCCCCTGACCCTTTTTATTTTGAGACCAGATTTCACCAAGTTGCCCAAACTGGTCTTGAACTTGTGATCCTCTCATCACAGCCTCCCAAGTAGTTGGAATTTGTAGGCATGGGTCACCACCTGGCTGCATGACACCTATTTGTTACAAGATGTCTTCTTCTGAGGGACTGTGTAGACATTACTGTTCAGTGCTTACTGTATGAATGATCTTGTTGTGTGCTTTTAATGTATTCCTTTGAAATTTGTCAATGCATGTAAGCATTGACTTTTAATATTCACAGAGAAAATGCCTTGTTTTTTGACGTGATATATTAAAAGTGAGACTCCATTTTGAGGGCCCATGCCCAAAAACAAGAAGGTAGTTTTTCAGAGCGTGGCCTTAAAAATTACTCATTGACCTACATCTTCTGTGATGTTTCCAGAGTAGAAATAACAACTGGGGTGAGAGGAGAATAAACCAGATTGTCACCATTTGTGTTAGCAGCATTCATCAGGTGACAGATGCTTTTTGAAGTTTCTGGTTGTGAATAGTCCTTGTAGTACCTTTGGAGGGGAAGAAAAATAGCTCAGTAGTAATTTCCTTCTGTTTGTTTCAGCCAACCCTTTTCCATAGACAGGGAGAAACCACAAGAGTGACACATTTATAGACCTCATTTTGCAAGTTGTTTTGGCTCTTTTTTATTTCTTGTGTACTGCTGAACATCTCAGAGGGACAATTTCCTTCACATTCTAAAGGAACAAGATCTGGTTTTAGTTTTTCAGACTCACAAAGAGATTTTTTTTTTTTAAAGTAACCCAAAATCTCAGAGTAGCCTGTTAGAATTTCATCCACTTTGCGTGCCTGTAGCCAAGGGACTTTGCATCTCAAACAAACCACAGAAATTACTTATTCCACTTTGTTTCTTTTATAGATAAACCACAGTACATGAATTCATCTTTTTTTCCCCTTGAAAACAACAAACAGGCTTCATTTGCAAGTCTAACTCACACTGCTAGTGTTGTCTTTCATCACATTAACTTGACTTATCAATCAAAGTGGTCTTTGGAGCTGAGTTTCTGAAGTTTAATTGGACTGCATATATATGCCCAAGTTATTTGGGATCATCATGTGGTGAGATCCTACAAAGATGAATTTCTCACCTGGTACTATTTGACATTTTGGGACTAGATAAGTCTGTGTTGCAGAAGGTTGTTCATGCATGATAAGCTTGTAGCACTGAATGCCAGAAGCACCTCCCTAGTTTTTGTTTTCTTCCTTATTCCCTAGACAATCCAGAATATCTCCAGGCAAGAGGGTGCAACCCCCTCACCCCCTACCCTCTCATCTCTGCTACCTTGGAGAAACATTGTTTAAGAAAAGCAGCAAGAGACATTAACACCATCTTCTTAAGGATGTTCTAAAGCAGATAACTCTTTTTTTTTTTTTATTATCATTTCAAGTTTGACAGCCTGCCCTTTTCCCTGGCTCCCAGTTCTGGGCACCAGTGATTTGGATTGAGCAAATGGGATTGTTCCAAGGATTTGTATGGTCCAAGGCCAGTCCTGGGAAAATGGAGATCCAGTCTGCTGATGGTACTTCCGTGGTGTCTGTTAGTGTTAGTAATATTGACAGATGGGCAGCTCTGACAGTTAATGTCACATAAGATGCAAGGTGTTCAGCAGCTTAGCTGGGTGGAGAACAGTGATGAGGTTGCATGGGACATTGATTTGCAGTCCTCTTGTCTTCCATAGACAGGCAATGCAGTATACTGTGCAGATGTTTGCCTTGAGATGGTGAAGAGTTGATCTATATGGCTGGGATCTGTCTGTGGTTTGAATTGGTCTTGTTAAGAGACATCCCACACATATCAAAAAAATCTTTTTATCCCATTCTCATATTGATATAGACAGAGGAATTTGGCATACTATAAATGGATCTTCAGTGTCTGTGACAGGTATTTGAAGAATTGTAGTTGCTGATTTTTGAGTGATTATTGATAGATTAAAATTCCTGACTTGATATTCTGGAGCAGTGTAATTCAGCAAAGTGTGCTGTATGGGCTCAGTTGAGACAGTTAGACTTATTTGTGTAAGTAAAATTTCCCTAGAATGCAGCCACTCCCATTTGTTTATAACATGTGCAATAACAGAGAAACATATTAATATCAGTATTTTTTCACGAGGCAACTGAAACATTCTAAATCTATCATTCAGCCATCATCATAGGGCATTCTTCATACCATGTGCTCATGTTCCTTACTAACCCAACAATTCCTTGGGACTCCATTCGTCTAAGCCAGTCAGCCAACTGTGGCCTTAGGCAGAATCTTCCTTGATAGGTTTTTTTTTTTTTTCCCTTTCTTAAAACAAACAAAAATAAATATGTTGTGGAGTCTGCAAATCCTAAACTACTTACTATAATGTCCTTTACCAAAAATATTTGTCCAAAAAGACATGTCCTCCCTACAAATCAGCATCATGTGAGGGCTGCTTCAGGGGACAGCCAGACACCAGCCTTTTCCCTTGAGTTTGTGCCATTTGCAGACTGCAGGGGAAGAAAACAAAAATTCACCAAGAAGCAAGTCCTCCTTGCAAATTGGCACTGTGAATGGGCTACTGGGGGGACAGCTAGATGGTCGAATTTTCCTGTGAGTCAGCACCATTCGTGGATTGCAGAAGAACAAGAAATCACCAAGAACCAAGCCCTTCATATGAATCAGCACCGTGCATGGGCCACTGGGAGGACAGCCACATGCCAGCCTTTGCCTTGAGTCAGCACTGTTCACGGACTTCAGGAGAAGAGAACAAGAAGTCGCCAAGAAGCAAGCCCTTCCTGCAAATTGGCACCATGCATGGACCACTGGGGGGACAGCCAGACACTAACCTTTTCCCATGAGTCAGCGCCATTTGTGGACTACAGGGGAAGAGAACAAGAAATTAGCAAGAAACAAGCCCTTCCTGTGATTCATTGCCATGCCAGGCCACTGAGGAGAAAGCCAGATACCAGCCCCTTCCAGCATGTGGGCTGGGAAATGAGAGCCAGAACACCCCCCCCCCCACTCCCTGATGCCCCGCCATAAGCAACCAGCTGATCCAGAGAAACAGAGGCTGTTGTTACAGCTATTTAGGTAAAATACATTTCAGTGCTTACAGTGTTTAGTGTTTGCAGATATCGCAGGTTTAAAGCTAGTAGTCTGATCATCTATTCAGAGGATACCAATATACAATCTGTGGGGGGGGGGAATCACCTTCTGAAAGTGGTAGCCATTGTTAATTCTTATATCTTATTTTGAAGTCCAGTATCATTTTCATTGTTTTGTTGGGTTGGGTTTTATTCTCTTTTGTTTTGTTTAATTTTGTTATATCCAATTGCATGGGTAGCTATTTCCAAGATAATAAGGTAAACTATGGTAGCCATTTTGGATTTAATATTATTATTATTATTATTTTATTTAAAAGGAAAAAGAGAAAAAAAAACAGAACAAAACAAAACAGTGTAAGGGTACAAGTAATACAGAACTGCAAAAAAAAAAAAAAAACCCAGTAAGATGTCACCAATTAATAGATTACCCAACCCAAAATGTGTAAATTTTGTTGTAATATTATTTTGTTTTAAAGTCCCTTATTGCATTCGTTGTTTTGATTTTACTGGTTCTATTATGCTCTGTTTTGTTTGCTTTTTACTATGTCTGAAGGCATCTGCATTCATTATGTTTTAAAAACAAGAGGCA